CCCCCAACAACTGCGGTGCCCCCCAACAACCACAGCCTGCGGCGGCCCCCAACAGACTGTTAGAGTAAATCCTTACGATTCACTCGCACAGCGTGCGGTGGGCCTTCATCCAGCAGTGGATTTAAGCACCAAAAAAACTACAGTACTAATGTAATTAGAACCGTGTGTATATATCCATATGTAATAGATGTGTGTGTAGTGCATGTGTGTTTTACCGTCAAAGTATTACTGTATTGAAAAGTATTATAGTAGAGTACTGTAAAACAGAACGCGAACGGCTTTGCTGTACTTGACGACTTTCAATAAGTCGAATAAGAGCGGCTTTACGCGGCTTTCACTTAAAACTTTCCCTCTACATACCTTTTTTGACGATCTCGCTATGTAACTTTAATGTGAATGAATGAAAATGTATTTAAACTTTAGTTGTGATATTTACATTCACTTCTAAGAACTATGACTTATTAATCACTGAAAGAACTGTTAGGATTATTTGCAAGGTCTTATCTTAAGGGGTCTTATTGAGGGGGGGGTTACCGGTTACCCTCCCCCTCAGCCCCCACCCCTGTTGGCCCGTGAGCGTGGTGGCAGATCAGGTGCCCACAGCGCCTTATTACGGCGCAACATCACCTGGGGGGCGTACATGTTTGTGAGGGGCGCACCTCTGGTTTGCTGCTAACTCGCGGTCACGTGACGCACTTCAACCAATCCGTGCCGCGTTAATCACACAATGACAGTTACAGAATGACAGACTGACAGACCTGGGTGTTTATATATATTTATTGCTTATGCCTCAAAAATACAGAAAGTGGATATTATTCCCCACAAACTCTTTTTTTTGTGACCAGGACACAAAGGCAAAGATAATAATCCACTCTATTAATAACACTGTGTAACAATTGTTTTTTTTTGTGTTCCCGGGTAGTGTTATTTCTTAATTGCTCTTGCCTCAAAAGTATAGACAATGGCTGTTATTATTATTCCCCACAAACTTTGCTTTTGTGACCAGGACTTTACGTGAAGGAATGACACAAATGCACACCACGTTTTCTCATTGAAAATAGGTAAATTTCAAAATCTCACTGTCCTGGTCACAAAAGCATAGTTTGTGGGGAATAATAGCCATTTTCTATATTTTTGACGTATAAGCAATTATAAAATAACACTTACTACCCAGGAACAAAAATCGTGTCACATAGCGCGATTTACCTTTCCTCAATATCCGACGTAGAGATGTTCCTTCACTCTGATCATTATTGACGCATTTGTTGTTTTACACTTTTTTTAAGCTCCTATCTTCCATGGCACATGACCTTGTGACACAGTTCCGTTCTCTAGTAGGCAAATCTGCCTTCTCTTGCAATATTTATTCTCCATTGCTTTTAGTTTCCGTAATCTCACTTGCCATATATTGGCTCAATATTATTCTTAAATATGCTTTTAACTTCTTCATTACTTTACTACTTACCTTCTCAACTGCTTCACCTCAATACCTCTTGAGCAGTTACTCGATTTCAGCCGTTTTCTTGTAAACTCACTTATTTGTATAGGCTTTCCCTGTAACTTAAGATTCGAAAACCAAATTTATTGTCTGATTGGATTATTATTCGATTTGGTCATAGTTAATTTTCATTTTGTGGAGATAAAAAAGAGGTGTGTGTTTGTCCTAGCGTTTTGTGTCCCTGTGCAGCGGAGCTTATTACTAGGGAGTATCTCCAGCAGATTATAAACCAACCTCAATTCCTTTGCACAGGGTTCTCATTGTAACAAAGCTCTTAAGTCAGTCAAATCTCCTGTCCGTGGTGCCAAGTTTCCTCAACGAAAGACAATCTATACTCAGCATTTAACTAACAATTCATAATTGTCCTCATTATCATTGTTATTAGTATGAAAATACAGAATATGATTGAAACAATTAGTATTTAATCATACCGAACATTCAATGTTTTTAAGGGTATATCGATGACAGTGTACACCATGGCGGAGTCAGGATTTTCAGGTAGGGGGGGCAACCCCTCCAGCAATGAAAAATGATAGAGGAGTTGTTAGTAAGTAAGGACTTGTCCCTTGCTTTTTATTCCACGCGGTGCGGCGATGGCGCACCCATCGATCGAGGGTCGAATTCGAACCGCGTTGTGCGATCGGCATCGCGCTTGCTGAAGGCTTTTGCCTTCAGGGAAGTCGTGGACTGTATACGCAACTGCGCACAATTCTGAGTCACTTATAACTGCTTTGCTGTTACTTATTGCCAATTATGGACTCAGACTATTGTCCTATCATCTCAGAGTCCCTGGCACGTAATAATATGCTGCCCAGTGGCAGTGGGGGTCGCTGAATGCCGATTTATTACTAACTAGCGTTACTACCCGGCTTTGCCCGGGACTTGAATTCTTGTCTAGGATTCATTTAAAATTCCCTTATATTTAACTGAAAACCCCTGAAAAAAATGTATGCTTGCAAGAAAGTTAAAGGCCGAAACAAACCAATTAAAATTCTTAGTTTTTTCGGTAAAGTCACGTTGAAGGAAAACAACAAAATAATAAAATATATATAAAACAATAAAAAAATTCTCACGACGTTTCGACCATAACTCAAACGGTCGTCTTCAGGTGTGTTGGTTTGCATAAATGTATTTTTAAACGGCGCATTTATTTATTTATTAAAAACGTTAGCGCCACGCGCAGCGATTTGGCAGTTTATTTAGGACTAGTCCATCTATATTCTGAAAAGAGGAGGGGGGAGACGAAATTTTTTATAATGTATGCTGTCTGAAAGCCACTGTAAGCGTGAACAATCAATTAAGACCTGAAATGGTTTATCAAATCTTTCCAATGATTGCTAAGATAGAATCCAACTTCTCGGTTGAAATTGTCTCTGTGCTTGTAAATGTGGATAGCCTCATGAACGAATCTCTCATGGAAGCCAGATGGCTTACAAAGAACCTCTGTCTTGGAAAAGTCAATGGCATGTGAGCCTACTGAATTAGAACAATGATCTGCCATGGCCGAGGTGTTGGTCCTACCGTGTTTAAGGTCTGCTTTGTGTTCACGAATGCGGTCCGAGACATGGCGTTTGGTTTCTCCAATGTAACTACTACCACAGAGGCAACTTAGTTTGTAGACACCAGGGTATTGTATGTCCGGAATCACATCTTTTACAGACGGAACCAGATCACGGATTTCATGTAATGTGTTGAAACGGACCTGGATCTTGTGTTTATTCAAGATTTTGGAGATCTTTTTTGTGATCCCCGCAATGTAGGGTAAAGTGATGGTTTTGAAAGGCTCCTCAAGAGGGTTCTTCTTCATGGTTTGAGTGATAGCCATCCATCACAGAAGAATTCTCTCATCAAGACTCTGTATCATAGAGCCCAATGCATATCCGACCAGGAACACATAAGCAGTGAACTCAAGCACGTACACCAAGCTCTTAGGGCTAATGGTTACTCCGACTATACAATCCGCAAAGCTATCACTCAAACCATGAAGAAGAACCCTCTTGAGGAGCCTTTCAAAACCATCACTTTACCCTACATTGCGGGGATCACAAAAAAGCTCTCCAAAATCTTGAATAAACACAAGATCCAGGTCCGTTTCAACACATTACATAAAATCCGTGATCTGGTTCCGTCTGTAAAAGATGTGATTCCGGACATACAATACCTTGGTGTCTACAAACTAAGTTGCCTCTGTGGTAGTAGTTACATTGGAGAAACCAAACGCCATGTCTCGGACCGCATTCGTGAACACAAAGCAGACCTTAAACACGGTAGGACCAACACCTCGGCCGTGGCAGATCATTGTTCTAATTCAGTAGGCTCACATGCCATTGACTTTTCCAAGACAGAGATTCTTTGTAAGCCATCTGGCTTCCATGAGAGATTCGTTCATGAGGCTATCCACATATACAAGCACAGAGACAATTTCAACCGAGAAGATGGATTCTATCTTAGCAATCATTGGAAAGATTTGATAAACCATTTCAGGTCTTAATTGATTGTTCACGCTTACAGTGGCTTTCAGACAGCATACATTATAAAAAATGTCGTCTTCCCCCTCCTCTTTTCAGAATATAGATGGACTAGTCCTAAATAAACTGCCAAATTGCTGCGCGTGGCGCTAGCGTTTTTATAAATAAATAAATGCGCCGTTTTAAAATAAATTTATGCAAACCAACACACCTGAAGACGACCGTTTGAGTTATGGTCGAAACGTCGTGAGAATTTTTTATTGTTTTATATATTTTATTATTTTGTTGTTTCCCTTCAACGTGACTTTACCGAAAAAACTAACAATATGAATTACTGCAGTCACGAAAGCTTTAAATCAAAATTTAAACCAATTAAACTAAATCGGATGTTTTTCACTCAAGGAAATTCAACCTTAACCCACTTATACACAAGGTTGATTTAGGCAACTCGGGAAGGGAATGACGTGGCGAGCTGAAAATTGTCGCGTTCCCTTAGAAATTCCAGACAGCATCAGCTGTGTAAATTTCATGACGTCAAAGCTCAGCGTTCGAGAGTTTTTGCTGCTTCACACAAACAGATGAATTTTCTGCTTCATACTTAAGCTGAAAATAATCGCGTTGACTTAGAAAATCGAGACAGCTACGCTGCGCATTTGTGCGGGATACACGGCCTACGTGGAGGGTTGGGGGGGATGCGTGACGTCAGAAAGCACACTGCGTCACGCTGACGCATGCGGGTGACATCAGAGGTCACAGATGTGACGTCACCGTTCACTTGCCATGCAAAATATATCCATTATTGCGCCCCCCCCCCCCCCAAATACAAAAGTATTTTTTTATACTTTTTGCATTGTGTACAGTCTGGAAGCTACCCGTTTTTTTTGTTGCATGTCAGGAAGTATGCTAAACATTTCGAACAGACACACATTCACAAATTTCCCTTTATATATACTGTATAGATAAACCCCAATGATCCGATCGAAATTAGGGATTTCGATCAGATAATTTGTGTGGGGGGGGGGGGGGGGGGGGGGCACGTGCCACCCCACCCACTGGCTCCGCCAGTGTGTGGACATGTCTTTTGAGTAATCCTTTGAAAGCGGCCTTCTCAAGCTGCCAAAGATGCATTTTCCCCACCTCACCCACGTAACATTTGCAGGGGATTTTTAAAAGGGCAGTGTATGGTGTTCCATGTTAATATGTCGAGCATTCAACAACATATTAGATCTGCTCTGCTTCCTCCCTGGACTTTTCTTTTATGGATGAATGAGTGCGGTGAGGTTTTTCCACTTTCGAGAATGCCAGCGAGTGCCACACGAGGCCCTCACCCTGCACGCGTGCTCTTGCAGACCGCCCAGCCCGAACGAGCGAAGATGCTAATTGGAAATGGAGCATGTTCCAGGATGGATTGTACCTTTATGGACAACTCAGAGGACATCGATGGCTTTTATCATTAACAATGTCTGTTAATAGAAAACTATATAACAGGCCATCATAATATGAGAAAATGGTCCTTCTACAATGCAGACACAGCATGAAAACATTGGAAATCTCAATTTGCACTACGGACCTTTGAGTTTTATTCGTTCCGAACTTCATGAACTGAACGTGATTTCTTTATTGTAGACCAATCTATGATCTCAACAAGTGATGAATCAGATAAATATATCTTAAATATATACGCAGTATATAACATTGAAGTACTAATGGACTTAATGCAATAAATTCAAGTGTTGACTTTATAAATGGGGTTGCCTTCCATTGGTACAGCCCTAAAATGTTGGTGTCTCTTAAAGGACACGACTAGCAGCCAACCATATTTAAACAAATGGATTACATTTGTAGAGGAGTACCGCGAGGGGTGAGCGCGGGAAAGTGTGAGTTTGTGGAAAGGTCGTGCAAGAGCATGCGTAAGACGCTCTGTGAGTGAGGGCAATTGGGAGCGAACAGGTGTGCGCGTGGGAGCACGGGGTAGGCGCCGTGGAGATGGGGGATGGGGGTGATGATAAGGATTAACGAGTGCGAGGGGCGCCATGGAGACTGCAGCTTAAGTGGGAGTACGTGCGGACTCTGAATGAGGGATATATAAGCAGGAGTGTGCGTGAGCTCTGGGTCGTCGTCGTTGGGAGAGAGAGGAACAAGAGCCTGCGTGGACGACATTCCAGCTGCTGCCAAAGAGGGCTTGAGTTGTAGAGGTCTCAACTCGTCGCCGGGCGGTGTTGGATGATCCCCTGCCTGGGGCAGACGAGTGGGTAGACAAAGGGGAGCTGTACTGGGGCGTAGATAAATGATGGGATGTCCACGTAAAGGACAGAGTCCTGATGTGCGCCATAAAGGGTGTAAGCATCGAGTGCAGAAAGTGTAAGGTAGAGTGTACAGTGATCAGAGTGTGCATGAGTAAATAAACGGCAAGCAGCCTTAAGTAAGAATCTTCGTCTTCATCTGGTTCTACATTCATCCTTGGTGTCCCATGTTTTGCCTTCATAGGACAATTTCCCACGGCAAAACTACGTAAAGCAATCACTGGGTCCAGCACAATTATATAACATGGACATCTGCCTTCAGTGTCAAGATCTCCAGAGGCCCCGATCCTGACTCTATTATTCTGGTACAGTCTCCCGACCCACCTTTTCCCTTAAATCCAGTTTCCAAATCTAAACAGATTTACCCTCAGCGCTTTCATCACCCTTCTACACCGAGCCCTGCAGGAGGCCCGAGACGGCCTGTAACACGAGGCTCCAATCCTGCAGCAAGTCCGCCTCTGTGGTGAACTGGGACGTGATGGTGAAGCGGATGACGAACTTGTCTCCAGCCATGGCTGACGCCACGAATAGCTGCCCCGATGCGTTGAGCTTCTTGAGTAGCTTCTCCGTCATCTCGTTAGGGCCCTGCGATGAGAACAGCCTTAAAGTAAAGAGATCAAAAATGCATAGCGACTGAAAAAGCTGTGATAATGGGGGCCCTAAAAACGTTCTCACACTTTCAGGCATTACAGATGGCCTTGTCGAGAGATAATAAAAGTATTCAAGATGTAGCTTTCATCTTTTCTCTTCACTGTATATTATAACTGTGCTTATCATGATTTGCTAAAGATGCAGATATATTTCCATTAGGACACTCGTACAGATTGCATCACTCCTTACTCAAGGATTGATACCTAGAAGGTGTTTCACAAGACTACCTCTGAGGTCTCTATAATTACCCGTTATCCTCATTGGGTAGGATGTACCTTCTTACATAGCCCACTATGGAATTGTTCATTGCATTAAACCAAAAATGTGCAATCCTCGGCTTAGAAATATGGTTTAGTGGAAACCACTTTCAATAAGTTATTTTATTTGTGCAGTCTTTTGTGACCAGGCTCAACTTGCTATGCCAGATAAGCTGCTATAGTCGTTGGTGTTTTTTTATTCGAACCCAGGATTTCAGTGGTACTGGCTCAGCCAGTGCTCTTAAAAGTGTCCACCCCCTCAGCCACCCAGCCATCTCATTGATTCTTTACAATTCTAAGCTTAGGTTTGATGGTATATCTCCGAATAAGAAGACTTTAAGGATGATAACAGGTGCTCTTTTGTTTTTTCGGTAAAGTCACGTAGGTAAAATAAAATAAATGAAAACAACTAAATTAAATCACGGTGTTTCGGAGGCAACACAAGCTTCCGTCTTCAGGTGGAACAGTCACAGCAAAATCAACTGTGTCAAGTGAACAGCTCTGAGACACACGGGTTTATATACAGGTTAAGGGGGGGAGGAGTCAGGAAGGGACATGGGTGGGGAGGGGGGGCTAAGTTAAGCCGCCTTTTGTTATTCTGCAGGGGGTTCAGGGGGAGGCGGTGGTACGCTAGCACGTAAAACCACCTTTTGTTATGCTGCAGGCGGTTCGGGGGGAGAGCTGTATAATTATAAGCCAGCTAAGGTTTGACTTGATTGATGACATCTTTCCAAAATTTGCTCAATTTAAAACCATCTTCTTGGTTGAAGTTATTAATCAGTAACATCCTGATCTCGGACAATCTCAAAATGGTACTGGCTAAAAGGCTAAATTTTGCTGTCACCCCTGAACATATACCAGTAGAGGATATCATTTCTCAGGTCAATGTAGCCCTCAAAGGCATAGGACACATCCAAGCAGACGTTGCGAGAGTATAAATAGCCAGTATTCGTAAGAATGCTGAGAAACCCATTAGCAACATTAACAAAAACGAACGCTCTGCACTCGCGAATTAAAAAAAAGAGGGATGATATAGTCATCCTCTCGGCCAATAAGGGCAATGCCACTCTCATTATAGATAAAAACTCATACAACAACAAAATCTAGGACCTACTCAGTGATGGGAGTTACTCAAAAATAAAAAATGATCCTACCAACAGCCTAACGATAAAAACCAACAAGATCATCACTAGTTCGACTTCCCTAATCGAACCAACCAAACGTCCCTCCCTAAACCCACGGCTGCAAGACCTCCCAGATTCTATGGTCTTCCCAAGATTCATAAAGAAGGTACCCCACTACGACCCATCGTGTCCACCATCAACTCCCCTACCTACAAGCTAGCCCGTTTTTATCGGATACTCTGCTTCCCTTCACTGGCAAGACCACCTCAGCAGTATTTAACTCAACCCAATTGGTTTCTATGGTCAAGGACACGGTACTATCTCCTGACAATATCCTCGTCAGCTTTGATGTGGTCTCTCTATTCACCAAGGTCCCAGTACCTGACTCCATAACAATAATTGAAGATTTGGTTCAACATGGACTGAACCCTGATGTTCCTGCGCTGGTCAGGCACTGCCTCACCAACACTTACTTTACCTGGAATGGCACCTTCTACAAACAAAATGAGGGTACATCTATGGGTTCCCCCTTGTCACCAGTGATAGCCAATGTTTTCATGGAGAAATTTGAATCAGACGCCATCCAGACATCCACCCTTCATCCTTCGCTGTGGAAGAGATATGTGGATGACACTTTAATCATTTGGCCACATGGCCTCCCAGCTTTGAACCATTTCCTAGACCACATCAATTCCAGACATCAAATTCACCATGGCAGTGGAGAAAGATGGCAAGCTGCCATTCTTGGATGTTCTGTTTGAGAGGAGGACTGATGGCTCGTTGGGACATTCTGTTTACAGGAAGTCCACCCACACAGATTCATACTTGAAGTCTGATTCCCACCACCACCCGGCTCAAAAGAATTCTCTCATCAAAACATTATACCATAGGGCTCATTGCATTTCTGACCAACACCACCTGGCCAGTGAATTAAAACATGTACATCAGGCCCTCAAGATGAACGGATACTCTGACTGTACTATCCGCCAAGCTGTCTCTCCCACCATACAGAAACAACCACCTGATACTCCGATCAAAACCATCACACTGCCTTACATAGCAGGCGTGACAAAAAAGATTTCCAAAATTCTAAACAAACACAAGATCCAGGTCCAGTTCAATACAGTACACAAAATCCATGATCTGATCCCATCCGTAAAGGATGTCATTCCTGACTTACAGTACCTCGGTGTTTACAAATTCAGTTGTACCTTTGGTGACTGCTATAAAAGGGAGACGAAACAACATTCCTGACCGAATTCGCGAGCACAAATCAGATTTGAAACACGGCAGAACGAATTCTTTGGCCGTGGCTGATCATTGTTTCAACACAGCGGGTTCTCATGACATTATTTTCTCCGATACCAAAGTACTATGCAAACTTCCCGGTTATTACCAAAGATTTGTCCATGAAGCCATCCAGATATACAAACATAGACACAACTTCAACCGAGAGGATGGTTTTAAATTGAGCAACTTTTGGAAAGATGTCATCAACCAAGTCAAACCTTAGCTGGCTTATAATTATACAGCCATTTACGTTTATACCAGTGGTTGTACTCACCCCCGTGCAGCGCGCCATCGCTCTCCCCCCGAACTCTCTGCAGCATAACAAAAGGTGGTTTTACGTGCTAGCGTACCACCGCCTCCCCCTGAACCCCCTACAGAATAACAAAAGGCGGCTTAACTTAGCCCCCCCCTCCCCACCCACGTCCCTTCCTGACTCCTCCCCCCTCTTAGCCTGTATATAAACCCGTGTGTCCCAGAGCTGTTCACTTGACACAGTTGATTTTGCTGTGACTGTTCCACTTGAAGACAGAAGCTTGTGTTGCCTCCAAAACGTCGGGATTTAATTTAGTTGTTTTCATTTATTTTATTTGTATTTTACCTACGTGACTTTACCGAAAAAAACAAAGAGCATGAATCCTTGCTGTCACGAAAGCTTCAAATCTAGAATAAATGATAACAGGTATTCATACACTAGGCAGCTCCCAAACAGCCAATGCCGTAACAAGTGTGCAGGAGGTGCAACTGCACCCAGTGCTCATACCAACATTATCCCACTGCATTTGGAGGGGCCAACACCTTAAATACTCCATGATGAATGAGAGAAGCATGGCTGTTGCAACTCACCTGGAGGCGAAACACGACGAGTCCCAGGTTTCTCTTCACTGGAATCTCAAACCGGGGGTCATCTATGACGAGTCTTTCAAAATACCTTGCAAGCTCAATGCCCTGTAACACATAACAACACAATTCACCTTCCACACATTGTCACTAAAGTATGGTCTATGGTGGCTCATGGCTGCAGTTTTAGGAAGAAAATTAACACTTTCTCAAGTTTCCCAGCAGAGCCGTCACTAGGGTACAATGAACCGGGGCGACCGCTCTGGGCCCTGTGTTTTGAGGGCCCCCACGCTTCGATGTTATTGTGTTAGATGCAGAAACATGCGTTTAGAGTATTTGGCTGCTATAAATTGCTACGTGATAAGCCACGTCGTTGAGCTATCATTTGTGGCCAGGTCGCTTCTAATAGAGAGCTTCATAGCTCAGTGGACCTTACCTGGTAAAATAAATATAGTTTAGCTTTAGTCGGGGGGTCCACACAGTGTGATTAGACCCAGGTCAAAGTGTGTAGGAGAGTATATATATTCTTGGTTCTTTCGGTAAAGTCACGTTGAAGGGAAACAATAAAATAATAAAAAAAATAAAACATTAAAATTCTCACGTTTCGACTGCAACACAAGCAGTCATCATCAGGTGTGTAGGAGAGGTTTAGTGGAATAACTTTAATCTGATGAGTGATGATTTAGTCAGTTAAAGCACTTAACTCCGAATTGTAACATCGCGATTCTAAATCAATCCCGGTCAGGTGTTTAACTCATGGTGTCAATAAATCATAAATCACTCGGTGAGAAGTCAACTGCAGTTTTGTACAGGACTCATCAGTTTATTTTGTCTGACCAGGTGAACAACTCTGACTTACTCCTGCTAAAGAAATATGACATCCACGCAAGGCTGTCAATGAAAGTATACCTCCTATAATCACCCAGGAATGTCTGTCCTTAATGCTCGTGACGTCACACCGCATCGACCAGCCCCCCTCATTAATAATCATGAGCAGATGACATCACTCCACATGGAGCACCCTCCCACCTCATTAATAATCATTATAAGATGACGTCCTCCAAATGGACACCCCCCCCCCCCCCCTGTTGTATATGTAGGCCTTTCTCCAAAATTTCATATTAAGAATAATTCTACCAATTTTTTTAATAAAATAAAACAAACACCCTCACCCCGCTACCTCTCACAGGCCACACCAAGCATCTGGAGGTCAGGACCGCATGCCATGACCTCCCCACGTACGTTTTGGACAGTTCACAAACAAATCTGCAGAGCCGCAAAACACAGACACATAGCAGGGACAAACGGACATGATAACTGGAAATATTTTTTAATACGGTAAAAGTTCGAAGCTTGGCTATAAGAATAAGTCGACATTATAAACTTCGATTTAAAGCTTTCGTGACTGCAATGATTCATCTTCTTTGGTTCTTTCGGTAAAGTCACGTAGAATGAGAATAAAATAATAAATTGATAAAATAAAATAACACAATAATATTCTCACGACGTTTCGGCCACAACACAAGCGGCCTTCATCAGGTGAAGGGAGCGAGACTGTCTGGTAGGACAGCGCTGGAGTGAGAGAGCCACGTTCAGATCACGGCTTTTAAGCTGTGTGAGAGGAACAAAGAGCCTTGACGAAGGAATTAGCATAAAATTTAGCATTGAAAAGGCTGAATGATTAGCTTGTGACTGGTCACAGAAATAGCTATGTTAAAAGTTAAAGCATACACATCCGCAGAGGCACCCATTGTTAAAAGGAATTAGCATAGAATTTAGCATTGAAATAGCTAAATTAAGGCATTCGCTTGTAACTGCTACAGAAATAGTTACGTTGAAGTCAGAGCATACACATTCACCGAGGCACTTAGTACAAATCAAAACAGGAGAATTTAGCATTGAAATAACTAGGCGAATTTAGCATTGAAATAACTGGGTGATTTGCTAGTGACTGGTCACAGAAATGACTACAAATCTGAGCTATTCACAGTACTATATAGTGAACCAATAAAAACTAAAATATAAATTACCTTCATGTTATCAATAAACTCTATATTCTCCAATCAGCTAAGCTACCAACCATAAGTCGTTATATATCACAATGCTATATGGCGAAAAAATGGGTGGATTCTTACCCTCAAATTTCCATACCACGGATAGCTACGGGCCCCGTTCAGACGGACGAGTTCGTCCATGGTCGGAACAGAGGAGGGGGAGAGAGATAGCTGCGAAGCCCTAGTATACTCCATGTTGTAAACCATACCATTAACCGTGGTGTGAGAGGTATTAAGAGGCAATGCTGGCGAAAGAGCTGCGGTCTGAAGGTCATCGTAAAATTACAATTAATTAAGAACAGAAATGATTTAACACATCTTTCCAGTGGTTACTGAGCCTGAATCCATCTTCTCGGTTGAAATTGTCTCTGTGCTTGTATATGTGAATGGCCTCATGAACGAATCTCTCATGGTAGCCAGTTGGTTTGCAAAGAACCTCCGTCTTGGAGAAGTCAATGTCATGTGAGCCCACTGAATTGTAACAGTGATCTGCCACGGCAGAGGAGTTCGTCTTACCGTGTTTCAAGTCTGCTTTATGTTCGCGGATGCGATCCGAGATATGTCTTTTGGTTTCTCCAATGTAGCTACTACCACAGAGGCACTTTAGTTTGTAAACGCCCGGGTACTGTATGTCTGGAAGAGCATCTTTTACAGATGGAACTAAATCACGGATTTTGTGTACTGTGTTGAATCGGACCTGGATCTTGTGTTTATTCAGGATTTTGGAGATCTTTTTAGTGACCCCTGCAATGTAGGGTAAGGTGATGGTTTTGAGTGGCTCCACAAGAGGATCCTTCTTCATGACTGGAGTGATGGCTTTGCGGATTGTGTAGTCGGAGTAGCCATTAGCCCTGAGAGCCTGGTGTACGTGTTTGAGTTCACTGGTAATGTGTTCCTGGTCGGAAATGCATTGGGCTCTATGGTATAGAGTCTTGATGAGGCAGTTCTTCTGGGATGGATGGTGGTGGGAATCCGGTTTCAAGTAAGCATCTGTATGGGTAGCTTTCCTGTAGACAGAGTGGCTCATTGAACCATCATGTCTCCTTTTAATTAAGACATCCAGAAAGGGTAGTTTGCCATCTTTTTCGACCTCCATGGTAAATCTGATGGCTGGGTGTATGGAATTGATGTGGTCGCGGAATTGGTCTAGAGCAGGCTGGCCATGTGGCCAGATGACAAAGGTGTCATCAACGTACCTCTTCCATAAGGTCGGGCGTAGAGTGGCAGTCTGGATGGCGTCAGTTTCAAATTTTTCCATGAATACGTTGGCTACAACCGGAGATAGGGGGGAGCCCATTGGGGTGCCCTCAGTTTGTTTGTAGAAAGTTCCATTCCAGGTGAAGTATGTGTTGGTTAAGCAATGTCTCACCAGGGGGGGTACATCAGTATGCAGTCCTTGATGAACCAGGTCTTCAATGATAGCGATGGTGTCAGGTACCGGGACTTTGGTGAACAAGGACACCACATCAAAACTGACAAGCAGGTCGTTTGGGGACAGGGAAATGTCTTTGATTGTCGATACCAGGTGAGTAGAATTTAGTACCGCAGAGGTGGTTTTTCCAGTGAAAGGTCGCAGTATATCAGCCAGAAAACGTGCCAGTTTGTAGGTGGGGGAGCTGATAGTAGAGACGATGGGACGAAGGGGTGTATCTTCTTTGTGTATCTTTGGAAGGCCATATAATCTTGGTGGTCTGGCAGCAGAGGGTTTCAACAAGAACTGTTTGTTCTCATCAATTAATGCTGTTGAATCAGAGATAATTTTGTTCGTTTTGGTGACCAGGCTGTTGGTGGGATCTCTTTTTATTTTTGTATAGCTGCCATCGTTGAGTAGTTCTTGAATTTTGTTGTTATATTCTGTTTTGTCCATGATGACAGTGGCATTGCCTTTGTCGGCTGAGAGAACGACAATATCATCCCTCTTTTTTAATTGAGATAATTCAAAACGTTCGTCTTTGCTGATGTTGCTAGGTGGCAACTTAGCGTTTTTGAGGGTTGCAGCGATTTCAGATCTTGCTACGTCTGCAGAGATGTGACTCAAGCCCTTGAGTGCAACGTCGACATGGGCAATGATATCATTAACCGGTAAGTGTCTCGGTGTGACAGCAAAGTTTAGACCTTTAGCTAAAACGGATTTCAGACCATCAGAAATGGAACTGTTACTGCGATTAATTACGACTTTGTTGACGTCTATCTTTTCGGTGTGTGGATCCGATTTTTTGCTGGAGAGGTGATTGAATTTGGAAATCAAATTGTCCCTACATTTGTTCGACATAGTGGCAGCCGAAGAGGTAGTCATATTGTCTACATGTTCCCAATCCGATGTAGACATTGTTGCTGTCAATTTGAAGTGTGATTTGTAGAGTGTCTTGTCTAACTGATCGAGTTCGGTGCGTGTAAGTCTGATTTTTTCCGAGATAAGAGCGAAGCTAGTTCTAGCTAGAATTCGTTTTGCATTGAGAGAAGTTGCAACAGCAGAGGTCAGTGTAAATGCGGTTGGTATTACCTTAGAGTCCGGCATCTCTTCAGAAAGGTGAGAGACTCGATTAGTTGAGCCTTCTTATCCCGAAGTCTGTTGAATGATCTTAAGGATGTGTGGAATCCCTCCCCGTAGAGGCGGTTAAATTTCGATTTAAAGCTTTCGTGACTGCAATGATTCATCTTCTTTGGTTCTTTCGGTAAAGTCACGTAGAATGAGAATAAAATAATAAATTGATAAAATAAAATAACACAATAATATTCTCACGACGTTTCGGCCACAACACAAGCGGCCTTCATCAGGTGAAGGGAGCGAGACTGTCTGGTAGGACAGCGCTGGAGTGAGAGAGCCACGTTCAGATCACGGCTTGTCATCTGGCCACATGGCCAGCCTGCTCTAGACCAATCCCGCGACCACATCAATTCCATACACCCAGCCATCAGATTTACCATGGAGGTCGAAAAAGATGGCAAACTACCCTTTCTGGATGTCTTAATTAAAAGGAGACATGATGGTTCAATGAGCCACTCTGTCTACAGGAAAGCTACCCATACAGATGCTTCCTTGAAACCGGATTC